TGTTATTAAGAATTCTCCATTTTCAATAGAATTTATTTGCACATCATTGTGGCCACATTCACATTAACCTTTTTAATATCATTCATTTCTAGGCCTTTTGGGGATAAACAATACGCCATTTTGACAGCATTTATCTCGCCGTCATTTTAGCAAGAGTCATTTCACTCTTTTCGATAGCATTTATTTCTCTGACATTTTTCACTACCATCTACTCAACCTTTTGGACATCATAAATATCTTTGCCATTTTGCTATAAACCAATATTTTTTCTAGAATTTATTTACCCGCATTTTTTCTTACCTTCAACAATATTTACATATTTCTACACATTTTGCTGAAGTCACTTCACCCTTTTTACAACATTTATTTCTACTCGTATTATTTAGATTCTTATAATTTTTTTCTGTTAAATAATTACTATTTTTTTTCTTCAGCTTTTTTTTACATATTCACGAGCTTAGATCAAAACATTCATAAATTCTTTCCAATATTAATTCTTCTCTTTTCTCAAGGATTGTTATTTACTCTTCTACTGTTATCGATGACTTTCTAATTTTTTTTTAGTACAACCGCTATCAATAATACCACATTTTCTAATGATAAAATCACATTTTTTTTTCAAATTATACTGTTTCTATTATGCAAAGAATAAAGGATAAAATCCAACCTTTGAATTCCTGACAAAATTAAGTACACACGTGTATCTATGAGTGAATGAAAGAGAAAGAGAGCAAGACAGAAGGAGAATGCGAGCAAGATAGGGACATAAAAAGAGAGAGAGAGAGAGAGAGAAATTTACATGCACTGCTGGTCAAGGTTCAAGGCTGGATTATCTGTTTCTCAGATTTGGAATGGTTTTTTCTTCCATGCTCCAAGTGAGCAATAACAGTGTCGTATTACGAACTTAACTTTTAACAATACCCATTTATCGGCCGCCGGTCGTTTCATTTGTTTTTATTTTTCTAAGTCGTCTGCCTAGAAATGAGAGAGCGATAAGCGATAATTCAACATATGGCGACATTCCATAGCTTCTTTTGGTATCGGGTCACCTGTGCACATGCGAATCTTCCGATTATATTGTGATAGAGTAAACAAACACTAGTCGTTATCAACGAATAATTTCAATGGAGAACGGGTGTCGGCAAGAAAGAACATATATTGAAATGGACACATTTCTTGAACCGGCCAGGAAGGCGATTGGCTTTACCACCGTATTTACACGCTTTTGAAAGTATGCAGATGAGGTTGAAAAAATGATACAATATTTAAAAAATAATCCCAAAATAATGTTTGGTAGTGAGTTTTATATCTTATATGGAAAAATGAAAATTAAAGCAAAAATTCAAATTAAGAAATCAAGTATTTTGCATTCAACAAAAACGCTTTTCTGACTTTTTAATTCGTCACTAATCATTTGTTTGTATTCAAAAGGTGCAACTCTCCTCCCCATCTATCTATCTGTCTATCTAATTATAGTGAATAGAATATTGGTTAATGTTTTATAGTTATTTACTAAGCTTAGTTTAATCTGTTGCATTGTTTTTCGAGACGTGCTTGCTAAACATTGCGCTATGACAATACTGATCCTTTCTGTCTGAATTTCTGGGAGGAGGAGTTATCATTGTTTCCATTATTTACAATCAGACTAATGTCCTCATGACGACAACACTCTACTCCCATAGATCAAATAAGTGATTCATTTCGAAATTCCGCAAAGATTGCTCGTTTCGCCAGACACCCGAAGAAGACCGGAGGGTGCAACGACTGAAACGTTGGTAAATAACAAGAAATAATTTAAATAATGTTTATTCTCTTCCGTATGATGTCGGATATGGTATTAAAGGAAACTTTAAATCTCTATTGTGTAATTTGGATTTTAACTTAAGAAAATATTCAATCAGTTATAAAAGCAAAAGAAATTAACGAATGGAAATAGTTTTGTTAATTATTACAATGTCTGCTACTTTTATCAACACAATTAAGCAATCTGTTTCGCTGAATTTGATTTTCGTAAACATTTACTATATTTTTTTAATTTAGAAATGTATCTAAAAGATATTGTTCACATAAACATTGACTAAAAAACTATCCCATGTAAATAAATTATTATTTCATTATTTTACATGTTCATATGGGCTCCTCGATATTCTATAACAATCACCAGTTTTTCATTCCCTGATTTTGTTACTTTTCTACAGTTTCGAATTTAATATTCCTTGCAGAATTTTTATTGCTTTTCAGAAACATTTACTTTATTTTATTCTATTCTGAAATAAACCTCTTTTAATGATGGATCACACGATTTCTATTGGGTTAATATCTAGACAGGTTTGGGGCTATTCAATTAATTGGTTATCTTTGAAACAGAATGTGAAGGAGCATTGTCATATGCTCTATAGTATAAATTTTCTTGTTTGTCACGTGTATCATATAAAAAAACGTCTTCCCCAAGAATAATTCTCTGTATTTACCATGACACGATCATAAACATTGAAAGAGTTAATAATATACTCCCTACAATATTAGTCTAAAACATTACCCCACTTCCCTCTATTTTCGTATGGGTCCAAGAAAGACCTAAACTCTAGCCCAGCCATCACGTCCATCCAATGTAGCTCTACATTCGTCATTAAAACTTACAATTGCTTAATCCCTTTTCATGTACTTTTCACCAATTCAAACACTTCTTTTTGTGAAGTTCACTTAAACGTGATAGTTTAGCTGCTTTCCTGTCTTTAGCTAATGTTCTTAATATTCTGCTTCTTTTTTCTCACTTTACATTTGCAACATCAACTTCAAATAATTCTGTGCTTTGCTCATTCAATTTTCTTGCTTATTTCTCTTTTAATTTATCTCAAATCTCATTTTATGACATTCTTAAGGCCATTTTTTTTACTTTTTATTATTTTGCTAATGTTTTGGCTTTTCTGTGATCTTAGGTAAACATTTTTGCAATTTCCAACGTTGTGTTTTCTTCATCACTCAATAAATGTACAATATCTTTTCTCGTTTAAAATTATACTAGGAATATTCCGAATGTAATTTATTTCCATATCAGCTACAATCTAAACAGGATGTATGATAAAAGCATGGACAGTGCAAGTTTTCTGCTACAAACACTATTTGTCCACATTGAAACAATTGGTTGCACATTTTCAAGGCGATTTTCATTGAGAAAGGCTGTTCGAAACATGGTTGCGACTACTGAAAACACACTACCTACCACATAACTGTGTTCATGTCTACTATTTGATCTCGGTAAACATTCAGCAAGTATAGATGAATGGTAAATGGATCCGTTTTTTTTTTTTTTTTTTTGCATATCGACATTCAGTGACATCATACCCGCCTCGGTGACATTTCGCCAGATTGTTCACTATAACAAGAAAATAAAAAGGGAATTAGTGGTTATTAGCAGGAAAATTCAATGACGAATATCATACTGATTACTACTGACTTACCCCGAACATCACCTCTATCATCGTCAGCCAACATAATAAAACAGAATGCATTTCTTTCAGGGCAACAACGTATCTTTCTTACCACTCAGAAGTCTGTATACATTTGAAATTAAATATACTTATCAGTAACTGTCACATTATATATCATTTTTATCACTTTAAACATTATTTTTAGTGCCTACTCGTGTTTGAGTAGACACTGTTTATTTATTAAACAGTATACGTAGTTATTTTCGTCTACCGGTCTGAATGTTTGAGAAATCTTATTAAATATAAAATCAAGTAGGATTCGAACCTGCGTTCCTCTGGACAGAGGGTTATCGTTAAATCCGATACGCTCTGGCCAAGTGAGCTATAGAGAAGAGCAGAGGTGAACAAAAATTTGGAGACTTGAGTTACTAAAAAGAAATAACTGAAATTGAGATGTCCGGGAGAAGCATGGTACATGGAACTAGAACAATCTACATCGGGGGATGAAATAAAGAGTTCGGTTCGAAATACCAATCACCTGAAGAAGGCCGCAGTGTATGATGGCCAAAACGTCGTGAATATGACAACAAGTATGAAGATAATAGTCCGAAGAATGTAATGTAATCTCTGAAGATAGATACAAAAACCTAACTTTTGATTAATCAAGATATAGCTGATTAGTCAAAAACCTGTTATTATACCGGTTTTAGTTTTATTGTAATGATGTGAATAAAAAAGAACGTAGTCATTCTTATTTCTTGATTTTCGATACAATTGTAATTGTAATTTATTATTGGATCTAATTAATAAAATCTCTAAAAAAGGTAGCATACTATTATTTTATGCTTCAATAGAAAATTCAATGGTTTTGTTGTCGCGAAACATTGGCTTGCATAATAAAATCAGACAATGTATACGAAAATCAGTTTTCATTGTAAGACATTTTTGCAAGAAGCAAAATTTCGGAGGCTGTTTTTCTTTATCATAACCTTGATGTAGTCACTTAGCGCTGCACATTTGGTGCAGTCTAACGTCACATCTGTGAGCGTATCAAGTTTAGTGATTTGTAGAAGAGATATTTTTTCCGATTCCACATTTCCGTGGAAGCAAAGCGTTACTTTGTAATGAAGAAATGTTCCTATGCGAAGCCATAAATTCTCTTGTAGACTAAACTTATCTCCAACCTTTCATCGCCTCTTTTTAGTTATTTGGCGTCAACCAACAATCACGGGGATAAAAGATATTATTCTCTTTCTTTTGACCGCAAATTACCCACAATCCCTACTTATACATCTACATACACACACACACACACACATATATATATATATATATAATATATATATATATATATATATGTTTGTGTGTGTGTGTGTGTGTGTGTGTGTGTTTGAGGAGTGCTGAAAATTTCTTGGACCAACCAAAAAGGGATTTCCCCTAAATTCTGATGTTTGGTCAATACCCTGATTTTGTGACGTATCTATTCCAGACAAATTACAAAGTCCCCGAATCCATAAGATAACACTTTTTGGGGAGATTGTCACAACAACATATCATTGATTTGTGGTTTACAGCCACATCACGTGTGAGACACTGGATCCTGTACGAACACCGAAATTAAGCAACGTCTAGTCTTGTCAGTACTTCGATGGGTCACCGCTTGGGAATACCGGGTGCTATAAGCTTGGATGTGAGAATGGTGTAATGAATAATGTCTCACAATTGTTAATCGGAGAGCCAAGTTCGAATTCCCGAGTTGGGTTCGGTATATTTCCTTAACAGGAAATACCCTTGAGAAAGGTATTAATCCTGCTCTTCTCTCCCAACTATGGGTTAATTAGTTAATCTTGTATCACTAAACCATTATTATCTCCCCACCCCAAATTCTTACGAGCTAAAAATATTTTCTGGCTTTAAATAACCTGCAAAGGATTGATCAGCCGTAGAAAACGAATCAATCAATCAATCATTGATTCGTGTTAGTAAATTAAAAATCATTGATGTCACGAGAATGATCGTACCGTAAAGATAAAAAAAATAAATGCCAACCTGAAATTTATAAAGCTATTTCTGCAAAAATGAGAGTGAAATTATTCTGCAATATTTCTAAGACATTTTAAACTAGTAAACAGGATGTGACATAGGTGTTCGATCTTGTATAGTTGAATAGATAAGGGAAAACTTTATAAACGCATGAAAGAAGTATTTTTTTAATTCTTTAATAAATTTCACAAAAAAGGTTTTTTCCCCAGAACGTGTGATTCAGAATTTTCATGAAAAAGTAATTTGTTTACGTCATTTTCTCCTTTTGCATTTCTGTTTGATTATTAAATAAAAAATCTCATTAATTTTGTGGTCCCAAATCATTCGACAGAGTTATTTATATAAAATAGCATACTACAAATTTAATTTAGCTACATTAATATGTCTTCATGGCAGCACTTCCACGTTACACAAACAGAGCATTGCCATGGTAAGCCCTGACGTCTACAGCCAAATTTAGTGATATTGCGTAATTTTTGTTGTACTTTTACCCACAAGAAGAATTAAACTGAATTGACATTTTACCGTACAAATAGATTCTGGTTTCTTCTTGGTTCATTTTTTTTGTAATTAGCTTTCTACTATTTGAATTGCTACCTTATACTTGTACTTGTGAGTGTCCGCTCTCAATTGCTATCTTAGACTTGTACTTGCGAGTGCCCGCATTTACCTATTACAGTTATCTATTCCACCTTAACGACATGTCATAAAAATATGTTGAATGGAACGTGCACTAAATTGGTATTGAAGTTTATAACATTTTAATTGGTCATCGATCTCCTCCGATAATTGCATGGTACGATTAGTATGTGAGGTAAATAATAAAAGATGGTTCTGGCAATAGGTCATGAACAGATTCTGCAGATAATATACTCAAGAAATGAATTCGTTTATGTATGTATCAAATCTCTTATTTGCATATTATTTGTGCTGTGCTCTTTCATTTTCACAAGATTTACATATTTATTTTTTGAAGAATTACATTAATTTAGGATGGAGAAAAATCGGATTGATTTTATTGATAATTTCTAATGCAAATCTCAATTTCGTTTTAGTTAAAAACAAAGATGAAAACAATATTCATGTATCAGTATCATTACTATATAAAATTTGCATTATATAAACGGAAATAATGCTTTCAAATAGACAAAACCGCATCTGATACATACAAACGTGCAACTACACACACACACACACACACACACACACACACACACACACACACACACACACACACACACACACACACACACACAATCTTTTTCCCCACAAGATATATAGAATGCTTCATGGCCATATGATGTAAACGAGAGGAAATATCACAACATTAATTTGAATAAAAAGTTGCAGTCACATACACTTTCTAAACACAAAATTATATGTAATTAAGTACATGTAGAGTTACACATATGTATGCGTGTACACGGAAATATTTGTGTATGTGTAGACACATATATATAAAGTGGAAGATACAAGTATTTAAACACTTGTAAAATGTTTATATAATACATTTCTACAACATAAACCTGTCTGAAATGAACTCTTTGAATTACGAAAAAGTGAATATAAAGGATTTCATCGAAAAGAAACTATTTGGACACTATCAGAAACTTGAAAACAGTTGTATAAAAATTAACACAGCTCTTGCAAATTAAAATTTTCATAGACAAATGTAGAAATTTCTACAATGTTTCAATAAAAGCTTCATGCGAATTAATCATTCAGAGCTTCAATTTCTTTTTACAAACACGCCATTAAGTCTAAAGTTATGGGGTTTCCAACTAAAAAAACAAACAAACAAAAAATAATATTATCATTCTAAAGATTGGAAGTTTAAGAACGCTGTTAAGAACGTAATTATATTTGAGAAAATGTAGAAGTTTCAGATCACCAGCAATTTCATTAGGGTTCAACGTAAGGGACCTAAGAGACATGTTTTGAATATGAGACTGACGTTCTGTCTATTGAAGAGTCACAGAAAAAAAAAACAGAAGAAAATCCAGCAAAATACCTTGACTATCTAAAATCAACTTCAAGAAGATTTAAAAGCAGAAATTCAATCACCAAATTAACCATTAGTAATGAAGTGTAACAAAATAATTTAAAGTTCTTAACGTCACGAAAATCTCCTTTAATGACGGAAATATATAGTTTGGGATTATTGAAGAAATCAATAATACTTTTTATTTTTTATTTTGTCAGGTGAAACAAAAATTTAACTTTCTGATTCCAACTCAGCTTGTTTTGTGGACATACAGTTAAGGAAACACTGTTATAATTACAAAAGTACGCAGGTGTAGGCTTTATGAAAGTTTTATTCAAATGAGAATACAAGATTCGCTTATAGCGTCCTTCTATAGTTCCAGTAAGCAGCAGAAATAGCTCTCTCAAAGAGGAGAGTAACGAAACAAGAGGAGACCACTCTTGATTATTCATAACAACTATATCAACAAAACGTTAGTATATGCCAGTGCGAGGTGTTTTCTTCAAATGGCACTGATACATTTCATATGACTAATTATGAATAGGCTGATGTATTAACATGGTCGTATAATAGAGCATTTTTTCTTTTCAACAGAGCTTCAGAAAATAAAGGCAAAAACAATCTAAGAATGATTTGTAACATAAAATATAGACGTTTTCTACTGGCTTAGACAATTCTCGATGCATATTTATTAGGAGAATTCTAGAAAGCCTAAAGATTAGAAGATTGTTTACAAGGCAAAGTGGAACGAGAGTCCATATGACTCTTACGAAAGGCTGATTAAGTTTTATAAATAACATCGACTTTTAACTGCAAAAATACTTTGCAATTAATTAATAATTTTTGTTAGATTCATGCATTCGAATATTTTTGAGACTTTAACTTGCATTTTAATTTCATAAAGTTCTCTATATTTCTGTCCGTTTATTTTTATAATTTAATATTTCATTTAAAAATTAAGCTAATGTATTTTACTTTAAAGTTAATTTATGCCGTAGAATTATATTGGACAAATGTTTTTAAGTGTTTAAATATATTGAGAGAGTAGGCATGTAATTATCTTCATATTTGATTACTATTACATATATATATATATATATATATATATATATATAAAGCGCACCGTGCATACACATATATACACACACACATATACACACACATATATATATATATATATATATATATATATATATATATATATATATATATATATATATATATGTATATTTAGGTAGAAAACATTTTTAAACATCTTTCGTTACACATGGGAGACAAGGAAAATTTAATTAATTTTTTATTTAGTATTTTTAAGGGGTTTTTGATTTGTGAAAACAAACCACGAAAGCGTCTGGGACAATGAAAATTATGGAAAATTTTTGTTCTCCCTTACTCCTACCAAACGGAAAACTAAATAAAAAATTAATAAAATTTGCCTTGTCTGCTATATTTAACACACACACATACATACATACATATATATATATATATATATATATATATATATATATATATATATATATATATATATATATATAATATAATAATTGCTGATACCCACTGAGGAATGGATGGACGAGTCCGTCTACTAAACTCTGGAGTCGGGATGCTGAAGGTAACATTAATTAAGAAACATTTTACTCATATTAATTATATATTTTACTTATATATATATTCAAAATTATAACCTACCATGTTATCACTACAAAAATAGCCATTTTGTTTCAACACTTCTGGTATCTTATCAAGTGACCTTGATAAGACAACAGAAGTGTTGAAAAAAAATGGCTATTTTTATAGTGATATAATATGCATATGTTATAATTTTGAATAAATGTTATTTTGTCCACCACCCTGTATTGGGCACGCTTTTAAGAATAGTGTTTTTGGTTGTCCGAATTTTATTCCATCTGTACCAATCCTGTATTTGATATATATATATATATATATATATATATATATATATATATATATATATATATATATATATATACATACATGGTGTTGTATGAGCAGAAGAAGAGGCAAGAAGTGCAGTTCATGAGGTTATGTACGAAAGGTAACGGTTAATCGTAGACTTGAAGAGGTCAAGATTGTAGTGACCAGAAAAACATCCTGCCGGGTGTCTGTTGCACAAAGTAGCAGTAACCTGGAAAGAAGTTATCCGAGTGGAACTTACTTCTTATTATGAAGGATGATCCAGGTGTGTGTACGTGGCATGGTGGATCCCAGTTGCAAAGATCTGTGCAGGCAAAAGCAAGGAGTAGAATTCGTCGCAAGCCTCTCGCTACTCTATCGCTATGACAGAGGCTTGCGATGATTGTTACTGGTTACATGAATTTGAGATTTTGCAGATAGCCCACTGAATTGTGTTTGGCTTTGGGAAATGTAAAGAAATGCTTGTTGTATGGTAACTGGGAGGTCGCCTTCCAAGATTGTCCTTTTCCATTAAGAGACGTACAAGATGACTATAGAAAAACTCTGAATTCAGGAAGTTTTTGTAAAAAAAGCCTTGCATCATATTTTACATCTGGCTGACATAAGATAAATACTATTTCTTGCCCTACTCTGCATCGAATTTTCTTGTTAACGCTTCACTAAAAAAACATGAGAAAAAGAGAGCGAAAGAAGAGATTAAACAAGTATCCAGAAACA